GTGCTAATTGAACTGTATGATGTTGATGTATTAATTTTGGCAATATCGTGATACACTAAAGTGTATTGACCATGGTAGGAAGATATCACAATTTTCGCATCCAGATGAACCATGGTTTTAGGAAGTATTAGAAGCATCTGAAATGAAAGATGTTTGTATGATAGGATTTGGTTACATTGATCGTGGTCTTTTGTTGGCCTTTGTTAATAGATGGCACTTTGAGACGTCATAACTTCATCTTCCCGTTGGTGACATGAGTATCACTCTAGATGATGTATCGTGTCTCCTACATCTTAGAATCACTGCAGATTGTTGGATCACACTCCAATTCAAATATCCGGCACTTTAGACCTTATTGGTACGCAGTTAGGAGATGATCCCACTAGGGCCCAAAAGGAGATTGTAGATACCAGGGGAACATGTGCAAGATTTTCATTTCTAAATAAAAACTACATGGACCACTTGAATGCCATTGTTAATCGTGCTGGTGATGATGCTTATGTCATTTTTCATAGGCAATGTGATTTAAGGACACCTTTCTTGTATTTGGTTAGCATAGTTATAGTTATATTTGTGGACAAAATTTCTACCTATGTCATCATTGTCTATAATAATTACTTCATACACTTTGAGAGGATTCACAAGTAAAAATGAGGGTATCTTGTTTGGTTTCCCTATACTCAAAGCTAGATGAAGTTAGTTAGTAGAGGACAAGACAATTGACACAAAACATTTGTATATTTAAGGTAATATTAATACATGTAAATTATTAATTTTATGATAAATCTTTGTATGTGTATATTATTGATTTTCATTTCAACCACTCTCAGGCATGGATCTTCCAACATTTTCCAGAATTACCTAATACATGCATGGTTAACCCATACATGGGGAATTCGACGATTGATCCCTACAAACATGCTCTTGACCAAATTCTAGAGAATGATATTTCTTTCACATCACATAGTGAGCACCTTCAGACACGATCTTTACAGGAAATCGATTGGTACTTTAGATGGATGACTTGTGGGTCTCTATTTAAATACACACGTCTACTTGAACAAATACTAAGATAGTTCGAGTATTTGCAGGGTATACATAGGGACATCCACGTTGATTGTGTCTTCCATATTCCTATGTATATATATTGATGAGTTACTTTCGAAGTACCAGAGTACGATATACAATTACATTTAATGCCTTTATAGATTTTCCCCAGGTTATCTAAAGGCAGTGTCGGTGGAAGATCCTCTTGGGCCAGTTCTTCAGGATATGTTAGAGGAGGAACAAGTAAGGAAGAATCATAGCGTAGATGTATTGTCGATAAGTCGTCATATTATCACTATACTCAGGACTATCACTAGAGGAAAGATACAGAAAGACACCCCTATATGGGATTCGATACAAACCTTATTAATATTGACCAAGTGACTTCAAACACAAGAAGCGAGGTGGGGTAAATTGTGATATTTAAAAAACAAAAATCGATCATCAAAACCTTTGACTATAAAAACTTTTATGCTAGTATACGCAAACAAACAGAGAAATAGCATAGTTATATAATGGAAAGAGGAAAAAAATGCACTGGAAGGAAAATAAATAACAAAAAATAAAGGGATAAGGGATAGAGAGATTACACCAAAGAATTATATTGTTTCTTTCTAACAACTTGGTCTACTCCCGTCCCCAAGAATTTTCCTTTGAGATTTCCACTAAAATTAACTTGAGCTTTTACATAAGATAAACCCATAAACTTTCAACAACAAATAGGGTTTTACACAGGCATAACTCAAGAACATTCACCCAAGTTTTTTTGTGGTTTAGCTTACAACCTTCAAATCTTTTAAAAAAGACACAGCACAAGATAATCACACTCTTGAATAATAATAACAATTAAGCACGACACCAGGACTACACAACTCTCAGAAAGAATTTTTCACTCAGCACTAAAAAGGAAATGGTCAATTAGCACTAAAAAAATGTTAGTGAAAAAATGGTTTATAGAAGAAAATAGAGTAAATAAAATAGTAGAAAGATTTCAATTAAGAAAACGACTGGAAAATGAAATGAGCAGAACCCTCTTTTATGTAGAAAAAAATATGTCTAAAACAGGAAATAATTCATGGACCTATTTAATGTTTTAATCAATTAAGTATAATATAGTGATTGATTAACCAACCTAAATATAGAGAGATTTTGAATTTCAACATCACCTAATCAATTAAAAGCTCATTTAATTGATTAAGTGGCATTACACTTAAGTTTAATCGATTGAAGGAAGCCCTTAATCTACTAACCATTCTAAAACGTATTCCTAATGGTTTATTAAAACTTCTAACCAATTAAGTGCTTACAAAAAAAAAGTTTTAAGACATTTTATCAAAAGAGAAGTGAGGTTTGAAAAGATGTGTGTATGTGTGTGCGCGTCCACATGCCTTAATTCCTCAAGACTTACTCCTATTCCTTTTACAATTTAATTGATAAATTTAAAGCTCTAAGCACATTACCAAGCAGACTTTTACCCTTTCTCTCTTTCACAACTTCAAATTTTCAAGTTTCTTTGCTTGATTTAACATTTACTACCACTTCAACTAAAACTTGAACACATCTTTCTGATGAGATTTGCAATATTTCTTCTTGATTACGTGTCATCATTAAATACCATTGAAAGTTGCAATCAACTCCCCTTTTGACAATTATCACTAAAAAATTCACCAAACTTCGTTTAACTTAAGGTGTGTCATATTTGACAATTGTCATCATCAAAATAGATTGATAAATATCATAATTAAAACTAACTAACGGTTATACATACATAATATATAGATCAACAACACACATGTTTGAGGTGCTCTTCAAAAAAGTTGTGTTGTATGTCATGTAAAAAATTTGAGTTGTACTTTATGTGACTTATATATGACTAAGAATTTTATATATGATATTTCATTTTGTGTTAAACGTATGCGACTTGACAACTATATTTGTGTGAATGGAATATGGAAAAACCAAACACATTGCTATGTATAAAGAAAATAAAAAATAATGCAAAGTTAGTTGATTTAGGATTTGTCCAAATAATGTTATTCGAACACACCATATCATGTAAACTAATATGGCAATGTGATATGTATGGTTTTAGAGGTTTGTGTGGATAGTGTTATTTAGATACATCTAGTCATGTAAATTTATGCACCGATGTGTTATGTATTATCCAAGGGGTTTGTCTAAATAGTGTTATCTAGACACCATGTATCATGTAAATTGATACGCCAATGTGATAATGTATTGCCTTAGGGGTTTGTATGAATATTGATACACATATCATATAAATTGATACACCAATGTGTTATATATTGTCTTAGGGGTTTATTTGGATCACAATAGTATGATGTAAAATGATATCTTAGTGTGTTATGAATTGTCTTAGGAGTTTGTTTAGATAGTGTCATTTCGAACACATTTTATTTTGTAAATTAATATGTCAATGTGTTATGTATTGTGTTAGGAGTTTGACCAGATAATGTTATTCATATACGTCATATCTTGTAAACTGATATTCCAATGTGTGATATATTATCTCATGGATTTGTCCGGATAGTTTTATTCAGACACACATTATCTTGTAAAGCGATACACCAATGTGTTATGTATCGTCTTAGAATTTTATCTAGATAGTGTTATCCAAGAACACCTTTTCATGTAAACTAATTGTCCAGATAGTGTTATCCATACACACTTTACAAACAGATACACCATTGTGTTATATATTGTCTCTGTGATTTGTTTAAATAAGGTTATCCGAACATAACATCTCTTGCAAACTAATATGTCAATGTGTTATAAATTTTCTCAAGGATTTATCCAAATAATATTATCTAAACACACATTGTTATAAATTTTCTCAAGGATTTATCCAAATAATATTATCTAAACACACATTGTTTTGCAAAACCAAACGCATGTTTAACCAATTAGCAACACTTAAAACTATCATTCCTACATTTTCATAATCCAAATTGTATGCACATAATGTACAATCCAAACTAAATTCATCATAAACTTTATCACGTTACATTTTAAAAACTCTATATTTTATACAACAAATTAAAACACATCAAAAAATGTGTCACCAATTAAATTTATTGATGCTTATATCTTTAACCGAACCGTTTCGAGAGCATACAAGACGAGTTACCACACAAAATCTCAAATTTATTAAAATATAGCAAAATAAAATCTCATAAAATATTTATCAAATTAAATAGGGACTATTTATTTTATAATTTTTCAACTGTGACTAGCCTACACATAACCTCTAAAAACTTGAAAGGATCTCCAGAAACTGAAGATGACTCCGGCGTTAATTTTTTTATTCGACTCTCTTTCAATTTTGTTCGTATCCTCAAGCTCATCCTCATATTCAAAAAAGAATACTCCCATTTTTCAGCCAAGATTTTGGCATGAGTTTGCTACTGTACATATATGGTCATGATAGATATATAATCCTAGTTTTAAATAAACTTGAACAAAATAATAAGATTTTTAAAACAAATTATTTTACAAATATGACAATTATTGTAGAACAAATGAAGCAATTCGTTTAACCCGAAGCACAATTATTATTATTTTAAGAATTATATTTAGACTATATTTATTTTTTATAAATTTATAAGAGATAAAATATATTAAATTCACGAAAATTAGTATTAACAAGTGACATTAATATTTATTTTTTTTTCATTCTAAATAGCATTATGTTAGAACTAAAAAAAGTGACATTATTATATATTTTACAACAGAGATTTGAATTATTGCAGTAAACAATTTTGGTCTCTTCCAACCACAACTATGAGGTTTCCTGATGTGACATTGTTTAGTTGGGTTTTCTGATGAGACTTTGATTCAAATGGCCAGTTTCTCCAGCCAAATAATTAAATTTGGCAACATGTATATGTAAAGGGACTTGAAGAGGCTGAAGAAACCTGAAAGTTCATGCAATGTCACTGTTGCAATGATGCTTGAATTAGAGATGTAAGAGAAGGATGAACTCGTGCCGTTCTTAAGAAGCGAGATTCACTTCTTCCTTCAGCATATTCTTCTCCCAACGGCCACCTTGGGCGTACATCATACTGAAAATACATCAATGTTTAATAAAATCAATAAGAGATTGATGAAATATGAACATAATATGCAGCACATGATGAATTTATGCCGTCTAAATAATTTGATAGAAGAGCAGCTCAAGTTAACCATGAAGAAAACTTTAGCAATAACAAGTACCACTAAAGTCGTCTGAATTTTGCACCAACTCAACAAGGTTACAAATGGATGTAACTTTTTTATGAACTAGGTAACGATGGTAACTGATCTTGTTGATTGTTTGAAAAGCATTAACCATGTTTCTCTTTCAGAAATTAAATTTATTATTCAATGCAACTAGAGAAATCATAATAGGAAAGCAAATTAATCTGATAAAATTGCTTTTAGTTCATATATTTTGTAAATGTTCGGAAAACGCACGGAAAAGTCTTCTGGATCTTCTGCAGGAGGTGGAGGGTCATATCTTCCAACGCGAAAGTGCTCAATACCGGTCCAAGCAATCATTACACCTATTCAGTTCACAAACAATTTGTAACATATTAGCTTTAATATAACAAAGATTAAAAAAGGTCTTATGTTGGCTGCCAAACGCCTGCTACAATCCTCCTCTTCTATGAAGACTAGGGATCAGCTATGTAAAATTTGCAAAGCACAGCACAGAGAGATAGCCTTTATCATTAAAAGCAAAATAAAGAATACAAGATTACCATTATCGGTACAAAGCCGGGGAGGAGGGCATACAAGTTGTAGGCCATTCTTCTTCACAACCGTATCTAGCCGAGCCCTAACATATTGATTTGATGCAACACCGCCTGAGATAACCTGCAACAGACAAGATGTAGAATGACATACAGTTATTTCAATGTAAATTAATAGTAAGGAGAAGCATTAAAGTCATTTCACAAAGCCGGCATTTTAGATTTCAAACTACCAAGTGTCTTATAGAAGGCTCCATCTTCAATGCCCATTGTATTGCTCGTTCACACCTTTCCTCGAGATGTAACACTGCAATTCCCTGCTTGACATATGGAAATCAGAAAAAATAAGACATATTAAAAGACGTGTGTTAGGGTCTGTTTGGTTGGGGGGTTTTGAAGGGGAGGGGAGAGAATATTTTAAAATAGACATGTTTGGTTCAATTTTTTATAAAGGGAGGGGAGGGGATTGGAGGTAATCAGAATCCCTCCTGGAGCAATTTTTCGGAGGGAAGGGGAGGGAATTATGATAACATGTATTTTTATTATATTGACAAAATTATCCTCACTTTTATTTAATAAATTTTTTAATTGTCTTTATTAATATTATATCTTAATTTTTATCACCTTATTATAATTCCTTCATTTGTTTAATGGCAACTCCATTATTTTTATTATTATGATTCAACTTTTTTTCCATGTGTTTTATTCTATTTATTTTTATTTAATATTTTGCTTGTAATAACTTAATTATTTTATAATTTGTTGTATTATATTACATATCAATATATAATTGTAGTATGAGTTATATATTATGTAGAATTTAATCTTATAAATATGTTATAGGATTAAATGGATCATCAAGATGAGAAAATGGTTCATATGATCATTGATCATATAATTTGATTTTATGACGTTTATCAATATTTTATTTTCATTTTAAGATATTTTAGAGTATTTTAAATGTTAAATATTTTGTGTTTAATTATCTACGTTTTTTATGAATTTTTTTTTGAAAAATTTATTTAACATGATTGTTATAATATTTTAAGGGTAAAAAAGTAAATTAGTTTTGAAACCCCTCCCCTCCCCATGGGAACTAAACATATATTTGAATAAAACTTCTCCCTCCACTCCCCCTCTTATGAACCAAACATACGTTTAATTAAAATACATCCCCTCACCTCCCCTCTCCTCCCCTCCGTTGAACCAAACGGACCCCTTAAAGGTGAACAGCAAGAGCAGGGAAATACTAAACTTTGCTTATAAACTTTAAAGGGAGGGATTCTCTCATAAAATCTACAAAACTACAAAACCTACAAAAGTATAACTAACCTGAAAAGAAGCAGCAATATCAGCCCGTGACATTCGATCTTCATAACTTGCAGCAGAAATAGGAATTTTCACATCTCTGCATATAGCTCATATACTCATAAGCATGTAATAATGAAAATATGCAAAAGTAATCTGACTAAATGAGAAAAAAGGGTACTATTAAACGGACTGTGTAAATCAATCACTTATTCAACAAAGAAAGTTTTTATATTAAACTTGTACTGTTAAAACTTAAAAACTGCATTAAACAAAGTGTGTGTGATAAGATAAACGGCAGATAACCCATCAGGTTATGGCATTGTTCCGTCATTATATATAGTTTACTAATAAATAGCAAATTTATTAACTTAAAATATTAACGTACATCTTTTTGGACTCAATTGCCAGCCTTACTTGGGTTTTTAAACCGGCATAGGAGAAGTTGCAATCTTTATGCTGCTTCATTGGAATCTAGAGCAAACATAGTAATAAACTTTAATCTCCACTAGAAGCGCAACGGCAGCCATTGTAATGTCAGGAATGAACATATATTCAACGCAAGGCAACAACCAATAGCATGGAGGAAGAGAGAGGAATATAATATCGTACAACTTACAGAAAAATTAACTGATTTAGCATTGCCCTCCCTAGCAAGCTCCTCTATAGCAGGACCACCACTTCTACTCATGTCAAGTCCAAGCCATTTTGCTGACTTGTTATAAGCCTCACCAATAGCATCATCTATTGTAGTTCCAAGTTGTATGTATTGCCCAAGATCCCGTGCAAGAATGAGTAGATTGTGTCCACCTATAAAAATAATGTAAATCATCTCATACAAGATAGCTAAGTGTACCAATACCTAAAAAATATACTGAACAATGACTGTCAAATCACAGGTTTGCAACAAACTGGACTGCTCAGAAACGGTACCTCAAGAACCATCTCTACATATAAAAATAAGCAAAAATATCTTTACATTTGACTTCAATGTGAAATCATGTGTCCAAGTTTAGGAGAATGTAAATTATTGATGAGGAATGAAGGTTATGAGTGAGAAGTCATTCCTTTGTATGAAAAGTTAAGGATGTGAAGAATGGGAAATACTTAGGCTACGTATGGGAGATTGGAGAGGTAAGGGGAGGGCTTTAGGGGAGGGAAAGAGATAGAAATCTTCCACCTTATTTGAGAGAGTGGTTTTATAGAGAAAGGCTGTGATTAATATATTTTTAATTTAAAGTATTATAACATGAAAAGAACTTGAAGAATGAGAAATGTCGTGCACCCCAACCAACCATGTTTCTCAGCTTACTAAAGTGGGAATGAGGAATGTCGTGCCTTGGTTCCACTGCCAATGGATTATTGATTAGATGATAGTTATTCTTACTTAAACAACTTATTGCATATTGAATGTCTTAAGTATATCCAAATGAAGAGCATTTCCTAGCCAACCTAGCCAAAAGTTTCATTAACATTTCGTGTCAATTTGTTTTACAAGAGGGGAGGGAATTGATCAGGCCACTGATAAAGGCCTATAACCTAGCCTATATCAAATCCAGTCCCAGCCAGACTCATCTGTTAAATAAGTCAGGTCAAAGTTTTTTTAACAATAAGTTTTAGGCCATCCAAAAAGTTTGTTAGGCCTACCAAGTTAGCCTATTTAAATAAATATGAAGAATAACTTTCGTTGTTGTTATTATTTGTGTTGCCATTATTAAATGTTAGACCCTGTTCACTGTCTTAAAACCGTATGCTTATTGACCATTTCAATAATTTAAGCAAACTAGTCAGCATAAAAACTTGGACATATAATCTTATATAGAGACAACTTTATTTACTATTTTAAAGGTTTTATTGCAGAATAGATTATCATGTCACTTAGACTTTTAAAAAGGTTAAGTTGTACCGTAAAAAAAAACAAATTAGACTTGAATTTTAGTAAATATTTGGTTCACTTACATATTTTACCTGGCAGACCAGACCTAAAAAAAACTATAATAGGTAGCAAGACCTAAAAAAAACCTATAATGGCCTTGACCTTGAAATATTTTTGCCTGCCTAGCCTATTCCTACTCCTATATACAGGTCATCAAACTTAATCAAATGTTGCTTGACCAAAAGTTATTAACCACATAATCAAAAAAGTGAAGGATCAAGCTGCAAGCTTCACTAATTCAAAACTCAAATCTGTCCAAAATTGTTCTGGCTTAATTGAAGGTAGTTCTATTATGCAGAGCCTATTACCAACAAACGCCACAAAATAAAAACTCCTTGAAACATAAACTAGAACTAGAAACAATTCCACAGCCCAAGGAAGAAAAATGAAAGCAGATCAAGTTCAAACTTCAAAGAAGAATACTAGCATGACTAAGTAAACTTAAACCCCAAAAACAGGTGTACAGGAATATTACCTGAAATAAGTAGAGCCATGAATGGAAACTGCAAATCTTTCTCGATTAGCCTAAAACAAAAGATGTGCATGTCTCACGAAAATAGCACAAAAGGCGCTAAAGAAGTGTAGAAAATTCTAGAAGTATAACAACATACAGGAACAGAATAGCCATTTAAAATATTTTAAGCATGCCTCTACATCCATCATGTAGGAGGAAAATAATATATATTCAATAGCTTCACCTAGCCACTAAAGCATGAGCCTCCATGTGATGGATGCCAATAATTGGTAAATTGAATCCCCCCGCAATTCTCCGAGCTTTCTGCACCCCCACTGCAATGTGCAAGACAAGGACAAATGTAATTGATAGCAAGAATTCCTCTAAAGCATATAGAAGATCAGAAAATGAAAGATATGCCTTCCAATGCCTACTTTAAGTCAGAAACAGATATGCATGCCTATAGCTTGAAGTTTGAACAATCAAATTTGAAATTTTCAGCTTAATGACATCTTTGTATTATTTAAGATCCAGTTACTCAACATGCATGTTAGAGTGTATTGTGCATGCTGTGGCAGGGCAATTTAGGTCATGCAGCAGCATCTAGAAGCTTCTATATTAGGCGCATGTATAAATGATTTAAATGTTTGAGCTGTGTAACAGAATTATGTTCAATCAGAACTCGAACATCACAATCAATTGCTTAGTTTTAGTCTAACTGGTATAAACTTTCTTGTCCTCTATAGACAGAGCTGTTATCTTGTAACTCATTCTGATGTATGGAAATAGATACCGACTCCAAAGGATTTTCTCAAACTATCTCTAAATTTTCTTTCACTTTTCATCAGTTTTTTTTCTTTCATTTTCTTCTATGGTCAACTAAAAATACTGCAAAATGAGAGCACCCAATACATTGAGGAAGAAAAAAAGAGCAGACAAATTTTCTGTCAACAACCATGCAAGAGCTGGCACAACTGCATGGCATTTTTTCCTGCTAAATAATTGTTCTGTAGTTAAAGAAGCGAACTTGGAGAACCGCAAAGGTAAAACTTCATTTTGTTGATATTTCAACCAGAAAAGTTTAATTAATGAATATCATCAAACGGCATACATATTATAATGTTTTTACAATTAACTTCCCAACTCCAACAGGCATGTTATTGCTTATTTTATGAAATCACCGGGAAATACAATGAAACATATTGAAGTTATATGACATCGCATGTTGGAAATATTGACAGTGATTAATATGCCATTGGGAAATACAGGAGCTAACATTTAAATGGAAAGATTAAAGTTATAGTTCTTTGTTAGTATGTTCAATATTCTTTTAATATGTTCAATATTCTTTTCACAATAGTTGGAAAGATGATGAGTGTTCACTCAATGAATGCACAGAACTTCTGTCTAATTTGTGTAAGTCTATTTTTAAGGATTCTTAAGTAAGAGTATTACCACGAAGGCAGAGACTTAAACCAGGACCAATAGTGACAGCAACAGCGGTGAGATCCTTCTCAGTCATATAAGCTTTATCAAGGGCTTCTTGCACAACCTATAATGAAAAGTAAACATGTTATGCGCTTGTCATTAACTCAATAAAAGGGAAGAGAGAAAAATGAGATAGAAAAGGTATAGGAAGCCCTATTAGAAATCTGTTTTGAGAACCTGGCGGTACTCTAGAAACATCATCCTAGGGCACCAAAGTAACTCAAAAGTTACTAATATTCTAGTAGGTTTTGTTTGAAAGAATTGGACAAGTAACTAAGACAAGCACCGATAAATTAGATTAGTATGCGACATAAGTATCCTTAGGACAAAAAATTGTCTTCCTTGATGTATAAAGGATGTGCTCAAGCTGGAATGTATTGAAAACAGGATAGGAGTGATGTGCCTGGTCTATCACTTGTGAGTGAGCTTCTTCTGCCATTTTTGGAGCAACACCTCCATACTTCACTAGCAGATCTGCCTTAATGGGAAGAAGTTAAACAGTTAGAAAGCATTTTAATATTCAATGAAATCAAGTGCAACCTGCGACTCATACCATTAGTGCATAATCATTAGGTAGAAAGTGAAATTACCACAGATCGGTGTTATCAATAGCGCATGGCGGTCCATGGCGGAGAGCCAAAAATCCACCATATTGGCAGCTTTGTGGCTCAGTCATAGCAGATTATAGTGGAAAAACTAGAAATATCCGCCGATATTTAGTATTGTACCCAGCCCAAAAACTGCCATTGATATCCACCATGGCGGATATTTGATAAACTTCCGCACATTAACACAATCTTCTCCCTCACATCTTATACTACTTGATAACCTTCACATGCGTGCCAAAGTCAATTTAAAGTTTTTAGCCAAACTTTAGTTACTTTTACTAGTTCAGGCAAGGCAGCAAAAAAGATAGGGGTGGAAATAGGTCAGGCCGATAACAAGGGCCTACGGGTCTAGCCTACACAGGCTCAGGTCAGACCAAACATTTTTTATAAATAGAAACTTACGCTTTTTTATAAGCCTATTTAGTTAAAAAGGTTAGGCCTCAGACCATGAAAAAAGTCTTTTAACCCTAATAGGTCGTCATACTTAAATAAATATGAATAATTTTTTTATTATCATTATGTTATGTTTTGTACTTTGAATTAAAATACATAAATAAAAATTGGTTATCTTGGAGAACTTATGAAAATAAGATGAAAACACCTTATGAACAATGTTATAAGTTATTTTCATAAGTTATCTTAAACAAATAATCTCACAAAACTTATACTAATAGGTAAGTTAAAATAAGTCAATGTAAACAAACTTTTAGTCTCATTGGTTTTTTAGTTTGTTAGTCTATTTAAAATAACAGACTTTTATGTAGGCTAACAAGCTAACCAGGCCTTAAAAATGTCAGACTCAGGCCTAAAAATAAGCCTATGACAGGCTACTGGCCAAGTTTAGGCTTCAGCTTTTTTGGCAGGTCAGGCTTAAGCTTGGCAAAGCCTAACTCGGCCTAGCCTATTTCCACCCTTAAACGAAGATAACCTTAGCAACATGCTTAATTACTTTTTTCCAATCCATATAATAATATCATCTCATTATGCTTCATTGAGCCGATTAAATTTTGTCAATGCAGAATGCATCCACGGTCCGCCTAAGATTATCTATCTGATTCTTTTGCCCTGGACTGGTTATGCATCGCATTCGCATGCTCAAAGAACAAATCCCCAACCTATCTAATATCTTAGCCAATGCAGCATGAAAAATACACTAAAGCACAATGTTCAATCGAAACATAAGTAATCAAGTTGGTCCTTGGAATTGTAGGGTGGTATCGACCTAGTCCCTCACATTATCAATATTACAAAAAGACTCCCGGAATTCCAAAATGTTAATCAAATTCATCCCTTTGTTTGAGTCTATCCTCACAGGTATCTCTAACATTATCCACTTAGTTTCAAATTTATCCTCAATATCACCAACTTAATGTCATTCTAGTCCTACATATACTAATGGATAGATGAATTTGATTAAAATTTTGCAACTTCAGAAATCATTTTAAATTATCAACAATCTGAATGACCAAATTGATATTTTCAATCACCAATTTGAGTATATACTCCTCAAATAAGTGTAAATAAAAAGCAGAAAAATGCATCAATTTCAATTATGGACACATTACAAGTTACAATCTACTACAGCTGAATTAAACTGAGCACATACAATACCATACCTGAGAAGACACCACTTGGCTCAAAATTTCACCGTCACTTCTCACCTAAACCACAAAAACCGTTAAAAGACAATTCCATAACATCGCATGCAAAAATAAATAAACTAAAGAAATGAATGAAAGCTTACGACGGCGGCGGCAGTGTCGTCGCAGCTAGTTTCGATGCCCAAGACGACAAGGTCTCCATCGCGTTTGGGAGTTCGGTTGTGTAGTTCATTTGCGACGCAAGAGACGGTGCGGGGAGAATGTTTATGGGGAAGTCGGATTCGGCGGAGAGATGTGAAAGTGAAGAGTGAGGGTTTGGGAAGGAATTTTACGCGGGAAATGGATGGAACCGCGATTGTAGAGAGAAAAAGTAGCATTTTTGTTGGAGATGGTGGAAGAAAAGAGTCTATTATTCCACCTTGAATATTTTATAGTTTAATGGTAGAAAATAACAAATAGAGAGGCTAAGAAGTGAGAAAAATGTTGGTTAAAAGAAAAGAATATATTTTGATCAATAGAAGTTTTACAATAAATAATAGAAAGGAAAACTAAAAACTATCTCACGTAACCAGAATTTTAGGGAATTGAATAATTAAACTAATTTGCTTCTAAAGTATAGCAACTACTACTAGCTTGCTCTTAAAGTATAGCAACCACTAATTGACTAAAAACTGAAACAATAAAATAAAATAGTAATAATAAATCTAGCAGTTACAAAAGCACATTTAATACTCCTCCTTGTTTTAGGAACTGCAAACTCCAATCAGTTGCCTTAGATATTCAAATTTGCTAATAGATAATGGCTTTGTAAACATGTCAGCCAATTGATCTTCAGACTTGCAGTAAATTAAGTTTACTTCCCCACTTTGTTGCATCTCTCTCAAAAAATAGAGCTTGATGTTGAAATGTTTAATCTTTCCATGACATACTGGATTGTTTGCAATAGCAATTGCAGCCTGGTTGTCAACAAAAATTTCTGTTTTGTTCTTCTGCTGCAAAGATAAATCACATAAAATCTTCTTCAACCATAAAGCTTGATTTACAGCAGCTGTTGCTGCTATAAATTCAGCCTCAGCGGTGGATTGTGCTACAGTCTCTTACTTCTTTGTGCACCATGAGAATACTCCCGAGCCTAGGCTGAAACAGTATCTTGAAGTGCTCTTCATATCATCAATGGATCCAGCCCAATCACTATCAGAGAATCCATACAACTTGAATTCTTTACACGTATCGAACTTGACTCCATAATCAATAGTGCCTTTGATATATCTCAAAATTCTTTTTGCTGCTTGCAAATGAATTTCACTTGGACAGTGCATAAAACGAGATAAGAGACTTACCGCAAATAGAATGTCCGACCTTGTTGCAGTGAGATACATCAGACATCCAATCAAGCCTCTATAATATCCTTCATCAATTTTTTCAGCACCATCATCCTTGCTCAACTTTTCCTTTTGATTCATTGGTGTGCTAACAGATTTACATTCCTCCATTTTAAATTTTTTCAAAATTTCCTTTGCATATTTTCTTTGACAAATTAACACTTCATTCTCACTTTGTTTGATCTCAATTCCAAGAAAATAGGTCATGAGACCAAGATCTGTCATTTCAAAAGCTTGCATCATTTCTTGCTTGAACTCGTCAACTAGCCTTGCATCATCTCCTGTTACTAAAAGATCATCCACATAAAGGAAAACTATGAGAAAATTTTTTCCCTTATGTTTCACATAAAGAGTGGACTCGGATAAGCTTTTTACAAAGCCTATGTTCAATAAGTGATCATTAATCTTGTTGTACCAAGCCCTTGGCGCTTGCTTGAGGCCATAGAGAGCCTTTTTTAGAAGATAGACTTTATCTTCTTCACCTTGCTTCACGAATCCTTCTGGATGGTCTACATATATTTCTTCATGTAGCTCTCCATTTAAAAAAGCTGATTTAACATCTAACTGAAATATTTTCCAGCCATTTTGCGCAGCAACTGCTAACACCAATCTAATAGTATCTAATCTGGACACAGGTGCAAAAGTGTCAGAATAATCAACACCAAAAATTTGTGCATACCCTTTAACTACAAGTCTGGCCTTGTGCTTGTTGATTGAGCAATCTGCATTAAGCTTTGTTCTGAAAACCCATTTAACTCCAATGACTTTTCTATTATCAGGCATGTCAACCAGCTCCCATGTTTTGTTTTTTTGTATCATGGACATCTCCTCCTCCATTGCAGTTTTCCATTTCTGGTCTTTTTGCGCTTCCTCGCAGCTAGCAGGTTCACAAACTGCTACATTACATCTTTGATAGATGTCAGATAACACCTTTTGCCTCTGACTAGAGGGTCGTCTTCTAATTCATCCTGTAACAGCTCTGTTGTTTGCTGTCCCGAATGCTTATCATCAATGTTGCCAAATAGTTTAGTTGTTCTTTGTGAGTTCTCCCAATTCCATTGTTGTTCTTCATTAAAGTGCACATCTCTGGTAACAATCATCTTTCCGATTTGAGGATGATACACTTTGTAGGCCTTTGAAACTGAACTGTAACCCACAAAGATGCCCGGAGTTGCCTTCTTGTCAAGTTTGTCACGCTTAGCCTGTGGAACATGTGCAAAACAAACACAACCAAACACTTTAAGAAACGTTAGTGATGGCTTATACCCATACCAAGCCTCAAATGGAGTTTTATCCTTCAAGGCTTTGGTTGGAAGCCGATTTTGGAGAAAAACGTTATGTTAGCAACTCCTTCTCATGTAACATGCATCTAGCCATCTCCATCACCGATCTATTTCTCCTTTCACTAACCCCATTTTGCTGTGGAGTGTATGGGGGCTGTGAGTTGATGTTCAATACCAGCTTCTTCACAAAATTGATTAAATTTTGTTGATGTATACTCTGTCCCATTGTCAGATCTTATACATTGAATCTTGCAGCCACTTTGAGTTTCCACCATTTTCTTGAACTTCATAAATACTCCAGCCACTTCATGCTTAAATTTCAAAAAAAAATATTCAGCACATTCTTGTGAAGTCATATATGAAAAGAATGAAGTATAGACTACCTTGTAGTGATGGTGTTCTTTGGGGTCCCGCCACATCAGTGTGAACAAGCTGCAACTTTTGAGAAGCTCTCCAAGCTGATTTGGGGAATGATTTTCTTATTTGTTTACCAAATTGACAAGCATTACAATTTGGTAAATTATCAGAAAGTATTGGCAGACCTCTTGACATGCCTTTTCTTTGCATGTTCAACATTCTTTCAAGATGGCAATGGCCGAGTCTCTTGTGCCAGAGTTCTGTGGGACTGACTTGAGTAAAATAGACTGCCTGCTCCTCCTCTGTTGGATCAAACGAGAAGCTTTTACCTCTCATTTTAACCCGTAAAACTTCCCAGCCAGCAATGTCGTAGATGAGACATTGTTGATTTTCAAAGGATACTTTAAATCCTTTTTTAATCAACTGACCTACACTTAGTAAGTTTTGGTCAATGTCAGGTACGTAGAGAACATCGGATATAATTTTGGTACCTGAACACGTTGAAATTGCAATGGTTCCTTTTCCTTTTGCAGTAATATAGCCACCATTCCCTATTCTGACCTTTGAGACATTTATGGGCTTCAAATCCTTGAATAGAGTCTTGTCATATGTCATGTGGTTCGTACAACCACTATCAATTAACCAGCATTCAGAATTGCTCCTTGTCGAATAGCATGTTGCAGCAAAAATATAGTCTTCTTCATCTTGCTCAACAACTTGGGCATTGGCTTCATGTTACTGCTGAAATTTGCTCTTACAAATTACAGCTTCATGTCCAAGCTGATTGCATTTACTACACTTCGCGTCTAGTCGTTTCCAACATTTGTATGGTGGGTGACCTAATTTCCCGCAGTGCTAACAAGGTGGGTAGTTTTTCTTTTTAACCCTACCATTGTTTTGGTTGTTTGCACTATTATCGCTGCTTGATGGCTGGTCCTTCTTGACATGCTTCTTTCTACTGGTTTCCCCATAATGGTGCTTGGCTCGTAAAGCACCTTCGACTGCACCATCTTGTTTCATCAACCTTCGCTGCTCTTGGGACTGCATAGCACTTACAAGTTCTGCCAATGTGATCTTTGAAAGATCCTTAGTGTTTTCTAATGAAGTAATAGAAGCTTCAAATTTTTCAGGAGCAGTTACTAGTATTTTCTGAACTATTCTTGAATCAGAAAAATCAGAACCTAACAACCTCACCTTGTTAGCAATGTTAAGAAGTCTGTTTGCATACTCCTTAATTGTTTCAGACTCCTTCATCTTCTGCATTTCAAATTCTCTAACCAGATTCATTGCTTGCATTCCCTTGATTCTTTCATCTCCTTCATATTCTTCCTTGAGTAAATTTCAGATCTCAAATGCCGAATTAATCGTCATGATTCTGGTGAAAATGTCTTGTGAGACAGCAGCAAACAAAGTAGCTCTTGCCTTAGATTTTCTTCCTTTCTTCTCCTTGTGATTTTTTATCTGAGCCATAGTTGGATTGTTCGGTAAAGGAAGAACTTCATAGTCTTCCTCAACGGCTTCCCAAAGGTCATTTGCTTATAGGTAAGCCTCCATTCTTGCTGCCCAGATGTGATAATTATCACCGTCAAACACAGGCGGTGCTAGTTTTGTGTAAGGAGTTTCAAAATCCATCTATTTGATGAATTGAAGGAAGGTTTATTATGGTGGATTTTTTAATGGGTTCACTCACAGGTCCCTCTAAGAAGAAGGCTCTAGATACCAATTTGTTAGTTTAATGGCAGAAAATAACAAATAGAGAGACAGAGAAGTAGAGAAAAATGTTGGTTAAAAGAAAGGAATATATTTTGATCAATAGAAGCGTTACAATAAATAATAGAAAGGAAAACTGAAAACTATCCCACGTAACCAGGATTTTAGGGAATTGAATAATTAAACTAATTTGCTCCTAAAGTATAGCAACTACTAATAGCTTGCTCCTAAAGTATAGCAACCACTAATTGACTAAAAACTGAAACAATAAAATAAAATAGTAATAATAAATCTAGCAGTTACAAAAGCACATTTAATAAATATCAAACACGAAATAAAAGATAAATAGGGTGGAATAAAGCAAAAATATTAAAAAAAAATTATCCAAATAATTCATATTTTTAAATTTATTTTCAAAATAATTCACATTTTTAATAAAATTACTAATCTACTCCATTTTCAAAAAAAAATTAAAGTGAATTGACAATTTTATCAACTTTTTTAATGATGGCATCAATTGAATCGACGTTTGTATTGTGTGTTTTTTAATGGTGGGACCAATTCATCTAACGCTAATTTGTATTGTGTTTTTTTAGTATAAATAGATGTATCTTTTACCATTTACTTCATATCTTATTTCATATT